GAGATTTGGGGGTCCCCGCGCGGGTTTGAGGGGGGTCCCCGGTGGGGGTGACCGAGGTCGGTGTCCAGCAGAGCTCCGGGAGCTGCCAAAATTCCGCGTTCTGTCGGGAGGGAGGGTCCAGTGAGAACCTGGGGGCTACTGGGGCTACTGGGGCTACTGGGGCTACTGGGGCCACTGGGGCTACTGGGGCTATTCGGGCTACTGGGGCTATTGGGGCACTGGGGCTACTGGGGCCACTGGGACTACTGGGGCTACTGGGGCCACTGGGGCCCCTGGGGCTACTGGGGCTACTGGGGCTACTGGGGCCACTGGGGCTACTGGGGCTACTGGGAACCCGCGCTGGCCACTGGGGTTACTGGGGGCACTGGGACTACTGGGGCTGCTGGGGCCACTGGGGTTACTGGGGCTACTGGGGCCACTGGGGCTACTGGGAACCCGCTCTGGTCACTGGGGCCACTGGGAACCCGCTCTGGTCACTGGGGCCACTGGGAATCTGAGCTGGTCACTGGGGCCACTGGGAACCCGAGCTGGTCACTGGGGCCACTGGGAATCTGAGCTGGTCACCGTGGCCACTGTGGCCACTGGGGCAGAGCGGGGAGCGGGCCCGGGCAGCCCCCGGGCCACTCGGGGGTTTGAGGGGACCCGGTGGTGGCCGCGGGGCTGAGCCCGGGGGGGTGGCAGCTGCAGCCCCGGGGTCCCCCGGCAGTGCCACCGTGTCCCCTTCCTGCCCTTGGCGCGGGCTGGCGCCCGGCCCGAAATAGCAGCGGTGTTGGTTTCCGATCCGGAAGGTGCTCGGGGAGGGGGAGGAAGATCCCGGGAGGGGGGGATCGGCCCCGGGAGCATCCCCAGCTCAGCTGCCGGGGTCACTCAGCTCCTGCGGTCACTCAGCTCCTGCCGGCCACCGCGGAAGGGGGGGGTGGGCACCGCGCTGCCTCAGTTTCCCCATCACCCCGCAGTGACCTATCACCCCCGGGTGACGCTGACACTATCCGTGCCTCTGTCCCCTCCCCAGGAGGATGTTCCCCTTCCTCAGCTTCAGCCTGTCGGGGCTCAACCCKCTGGCGCACTACAGCGTGTGCGTGGACGTGGTGCTGGTGGACCACAACCACTGGCGCTACCAGGGCGGCAAATGGGTGCAGTGCGGGAAAGCCGAGGGCAGCATGCCAGGTACGGCCCCCCCCGAGCCCCCCGAGCCCCCGCGGGCCGTGCCGGGATGGCCGTGACCCTGTCCCCGCTGTCGCCGCTGTCCCCTGTCCCCAGGGAACCGCCTGTACCTTCACCCCGACTCGCCCAACACGGGCGCGCACTGGATGCGCCAGGAGGTTTCCTTCGGCAAGCTGAAGCTCACCAACAACAAGGGCGCGTCCAACAACGTGGGCCAGGTGAGGGGAGGGTCCCGGGCCGGGCAGGACCCCCCGGAACCCCCCCTGATGATCGTGCTGCCCCGCAGATGATCGTGCTGCAGTCGCTGCACAAGTACCAGCCGCGGCTGCACGTCACCGAGGTGAAGGAGGGCGAGGGGGAGGACGGGTACCCCTCCCCGCACACGCACACCTTCGCCTTCCCCGAGACGCAGTTCATCGCCGTCACCGCCTACCAGAACGCCGACGTGAGTGCGAGACCCCCTCCGCCCCAAAAAATCCCCCCCCAAAAATCCCCCAAAACCCCTAAAACACCAGCAACCCCTCCCAGCGTCCGCCCAGAGCCGGTGATGATCGCAGTGTCATCACAGCCACCCCAAAACGCCCCTAAAGCAGCCCCATTACCCACCCAGTACTCTCTAAAGGGTCCTCAGCATCAGCAAAACCCCAAATGGGTCCCCCCGGGCTCGGGGACATCCCCTCCGCACCCCAGGATCTGTCCCTGCATCCTTTCAGCATCCCAGGATCTTCCCCAAATCCCCTCGGCACCCCAGGATCTGCCCCAAATCCCCTCGGCATCCCAGAAGCGTCCCAATATCCCCCGTAACCCATCAAATTTCCAAATCCTCCTCCTGGATCCCGCTCAGCACCCCATAACCCCCTCAGAACACCCCAGCCATGCCCGTACCCCATCCCGAATCCCCTCAGCACCCCATAACCCACTCGGCACCCCCGCACCGCCCAAGGGTGGGACCGGGACACCGGGGGGACATCCCGGAATGGGGACAGGGACACCGGAGCGGGGACAGGGACACCGGGGGGACAGGGACACCGGACGGGGTCAGGGACATCCCGGAGGGGTGACAGGGACACCGGAGCGGGGACAGGGACACCGGAGCGGGGACAGGGACATCCCGGAGCGGGGACAGGAACACCGGGGGGACATCCCGGAGGGGTGACAGGGACACGGGAGCGGGGACAGGGACACCGGAGCGGGTGACAGGGACACCGAAACGGGGGACCCGCTGCCAGCAGCGCCCCCAAACCCCGCGTCCCCCCAGATCACGCAGCTGAAGATCGACCACAACCCCTTCGCCAAAGGATTCCGGGACAACTTCGACTCGTGAGTGTCACCCCCTCCTCCCGCCCGTCCCCTCCCCTGCCCGGCCGGCGGCAGGACCCCCCCAAACCCCTGTGCGCCCCCTCCCCAGGATGTACCCGGCCTCGGAGAGCGATCGCCTGACCCCGTCTCCTCCGGAGGCTCCGGGCTGCCAGCAGCTCCTGCCCGCCGCTCGCTTCCAGCCCTTCCTGCCCGAGCAGTTCCCGCTGCCCCCGGGCCGCTTYTTCGGGGCCGAGCGGGGCCCGGCGCTGCCGCTGCCCCCCAAAGACCCCCCTGCGCCCCCGCCCTGGTTCCTGCCCCCGCCCCAGCAGCCCCCGGCCCCGGGCGCGCTCGATTTCGGCGCTTTCGAGGGCGGCTACGGCGGGAGCAAACTGGTGCCGTACGGGGTGAAACCGTTCGCGCTGAGCCCCGCGCCGCACCCGCCGCTGCCCTACTACCCCGAGGGGCCGGGGGGATTCGGGGTGCCGGGGGGATGGAGCCCCGCTCAGCTCGGCCCCAAGGGCTGGTACCGGGAGCCCCGGCAGGACAAGGGCAGGGAGCCGGACGGGGGCTGGGCCCCGGAGCCGCCCGGTACCGGCGCCGTGACCGCGGGGGACTCGGCGGATCCGGGGCTGTTGGAGTGCAAACGGCGCCGCGTGTCCCCCCCGTACCCCTCGAGCACCGAGAGCTCCCCGCCGGGCCGCAACGGCGACATCTACGGCGACAAAGAGCCGCTGCCCGACGGGGGCTACTACGGCTACTACGGCAACTGAGGGCACCGGGAGCCCCAAACTCGGGGGTCCCGTGCGCCCCCAAACCCCTCCTGCACCCCCGGGAGCGGAGCGGGGACAGTCAGCCCCGGGTCGGGGGCGTGGAGGGGCGGGGGAGGGCTCAGAGGGGTTTATTTTGTTGTTGTCGGTGGTTTTTAAGGGTGGGGGGGTTAATGATGGAATATTTATTGATCCCCCCCGCGGCCGGGGGGCAGCAGCATATCGCAATAAAGGGGGCGCGGTGGGACACGGCTCTGTGTGTGTTTGTGTGTGTGTCTGGAGGGAAACTGAGGCACGGGGGGGGTTTAAGGGATTTGTACCCCCCCCATCCCGATGTGGGAAAGGGGTCCTGAGCCCCCCGGGGGTCCTGATGGGGGAGGAGGAGGAGAAGGAATCTCTCTACACCCCCAACTCTTCACAGCCTTTATTCGAGCAGCCCCTGTGCACAATTTGGGGGGGGCAGGG